TACGAGAAGTATCCAGAGAGAAGACAACCTTTAAGAGACATTTTCGGAAGATTGCAACACAACCTAATTGATTAGTCGTCAATTTGAAAAAAAAACGGACAAAATTATATGAATCACATAGGGATGAGAAGTTGGAAGAAATAGTCGTTTTAACGCGAAATTTGAAAATATCAACAGACCCACCAAGAACTAACGTTGGGAGGATTTTGAAAAAACGCAAATTCAAGCCATACAAGGCCAGAAGAGTTCATCAACTCAGACCAAGAGATGTTGATGATGACTTTTGGCCAGTGGTTTTTGGAAAGTTGTTACCAAGTGCGGGATTCTTCGTTAAATTGTATTTGGACAGATGGAGCTTATGTGAGCAGTGCCGGCATTTCCAACCGCTACAACTCTTATATTTGAGCACTACCAAATCCTCATTCTATTGTGGAGCAGATAAGTGGAGGAAGATTTTGATTCAGTGTGTGGGCAGGTGTTTTTATGGGTAGAATTATCGGCCCGTTCATTTATAATAGCACTCTCACATCTCAGAGGTATTTAGAAATTCTAAGGCAAAATATTGAACTCCTTGTTAATGAAATGCCGCTGCCATTTCAACACTGCAATTGTCACCAATTTTTTGGCTGCAAATTTTGGTGATAATTGGATAACCAACCAAAGACCCAACCGTTGGCCGGCCAGTTCACCGGACCTAACGCCTATGGAATTTTACCTCAGAGGAAGGTTGATGGAGCTTATTTTCAAATTGCCGAACAATTCTAAATACGAATTGGAAGCGGCAGTGATGCAGTGTTTTGCTTTTCTCACTCCTATTGAACTGATTATCTCAGCAAAAAACTATTAGAAGTTTGTAGACATTTCGAACACTTAATCTGAAGAAATATATTTTATTGTCTATTCTTTATCATTAATATTATTGTAGAATTTTCATTTATCAGTTGTAAATATAGTATAAATTATTATCAGTCTTATTGAAACTAAGTTACAGCAACTTTTCAAAAATATACATTTTCGAAAAAGATGCTGTAACTCAGAAACGATGATAGATATCAGTATGCGGTTTTCACCATTCACTTTGTCATAAAATTTGACCCTCAGACACAGCCATCAGTTTTCATCTATGTAGTTTGAAAACAGGCCATTTTAAAAGTGTCTGATTTGGCCAGTACGTACCACTCATTTGTAGTGTTTTTAAGTACCTTATTCTAATTTTTCACAAAATTTTATAAAAATTCTTTGGTCAACTTTATTCCATAGCAGAAAATCGCCGAACAAGCAAAACACTTCCTACTCTTATGCTTCTTACCAACAAATTAAACATGCTAAACAGCCGAAACTGCCCGTGGATTGGGCTACCTATCAGGCGCGTCCCCAGGTGGCGGATAGGGGAACGGCCCGGGGACTGGAGGCCCTCTCCGGGAAGCCAATGTGGCTGGTCAGTAGCAGAAATAAGTAGGGTGAGGGGAACTAAAACCCCCCCAAAAGCCTTTGCAAAACATACCACCGTGGACCAGCCTACCCAAGATAAGGTGTAAGGAATCGTGCCGA